ACTTTGGGCAACGTAAATGAGTGAAGAAATGAGCTCTCTCCTACTTTGAATATGGAGGAAGAGGGGAGGGGGGGAGACTGAATAATTTGATAGAAAGAAAGAGGGTAATACTTACAAGAGGAGAAAGAGGGGAGAGCGCCAAAGAGACTTTAGAAATTAGATAATTAGGCTTAGAAATGGTGTAATGGGAATGACAATGGGAGGCCATATTTATAGATGGTTTTTAGTTGTTTTAAAGGCAGGGATCCCATATAAGGAAGGTGAGGCATTTTAAGGCAATGTTTTTAATTTTTTTTATTCATAATTTTGTGCACTTCTTATGTCCTGGAATGGGTGATCAAATTTCCATATTGCCATTGGAATTGAAGATTAGATTTTTATTCTTTTATTGAGTTGCTATAGCACTTGCCATGGCTTAGGATACACAAAAATCTAATCGAGATCTATCATCTTGATGATCCATTGTAAAATGGGCAACCAAATTTAAGAATTTGAATGAAAATTTGATGAAAAATAAAGCCTTTATCTAGATAGAAAATATTGATAATCAATTATTTGGTAGGCATGTGTGATCAATAAGAATTTAGTCAATTACCAACAATCTAAGTAATTTAGTGATTATCTCATGCCGTTGGTAGTAAAAAGTATTGAATTTGAGTCGCATGATATTCGGGTGAAGTGAGATAAGGGATAAAAGATGCTTGCCTTCTATTATGTAACTAAGATAAAAAAAAAATTAGTTAATTTGATATTTGAGAAACTATAAAACCTTTATTTGGAATCAAGACAAGAGTCAAGCATATATAGCTACGGTTTGAGCATTAGAGTGATAATAAAATTCACAAATTCTACAAAAAGTATTTATTTGAAAATATATTATCAAAATTAAAAAATACTCTACTTGTTTAAAAATAACTATATATTTTTTTATTTTAATAGTATATTTGGTTTGAGAAGAATGAAGCAGAGGGGAGGGGAAAGAAGGGAGGGGAGAGTTTTTTCATTAATTAAATTATAATATTTAAACATATTATAATTTGATTAGTTATAAAATCTCTCTCCCCCTCTATTTCCTCAACTCAACATACTATAAATTTATTTCAAATTAATTGTCTTTTTTTTTTAAGATAAACAATTTTTTTTAGTTTATCCTTATCATTATTCATTTATTTTAATTAATTTTTCTATCACAAAAAATCTAACTTTTTCTTTTAACTTTTTCTTAAGATTAATATAAGTAAATATATAAATTGTTCTCAAATTTTTAATTAAAAAAAGTTAAAAAAACGATATTATTTTGTTCTCAAATTTTTAATTAAAAAAAGTTAAAAAAACGATAATTATTTTAATGTAAATAAGTAAAAAAGAATGGGAAAAAAAAAAAAAAAGATAAGAAGAGTTGGCTCCAGATTTTTTTGGTGCTGTTTTGGACAGTAATTAATTGCAGCCCCACCTGTAGGTGAGGAAAATAGAATGAAATACATGGCAAGTGTATACATACCTACCCCCCTTTAGAACTGTAATTTACTTTCATATATGCGAAAAAAGAGTGTAATTTACTTACTATTCTGTAAATAATTAATGAATTCTGAAAAAAGTAAGCATTCTCTGATATTCACCAATTGATAATGTTACCATACATAAATTCTGGAGGCTATGAACTCCTTATTGACAAAATTCGCTTGTAACAATTCCCAGTTCAAGGATTTAACAACACAAAAAAATAAAATAAAATCAATAAATAAAATAACAAAATAAAAATCCAATTAATTGGCATTACATCAATATAAGATCATGTTGGATCATACAGTGAGCACTGATCAGCATAAATCCTTCAGTATCACATCAGCTTGCTCTCTTCTTCTTCTTGGACTTCTTTGCATGATACTTTACTTTCCTCTTCAAGGAATTTGTGGGCTTTTGCGTCTTACTTTGCTGTGTGACACCCACTTGCCCTTCATTGTCATCTTCCCCGGAAGAGGAGTTACTCAGGGACCCATCTTCATCTGAACTTAGCAGTTAGTCTTCCACAACATCATCCTTAGCTACCTCTTGCTCATCCAATTTTCTCTTTTTTCTTCCTCTTTTTGTCCTTCTCTTTCTGAGGCTCAGCCCTGCAAGATGAAGAGTTTGATGATCAGACAGACCATGCCATGCATATACAGTTAAATGTGTGAGAGACAGAGGTGAATCTGATAATAAGCCATACTTGGAATCGCTTCCTGGTAACCAGGAGGAACTGAAAACAAGAGGACCTTCCCTTATTCCTGGTATCATCTTCTTAGTCACTTTCTGGTATCCTAGCCATTTTAATTACTCTCAAAGACAGAAGACTTTTTCCCCACAAGAAAACTGGAAGGTGTATATGTTATGAAGCATCAATATGAAGAAGAGAAACATTTAATAGAGTAACAAATCCTACAAAGAGCACAATGGTAAACCTGGATTTCATCAATGAGTCCCTTCTTTCTTGCGCTCTTTGGTGCAAGGTAAAAACATATTTAGATAGAGGACTTCTCCGTAACTTCTTTTCATCCTATGACAAAATAAAAACTGCAAGTCTTCGAAATGATACAAAATAAATAAGACATTTTTTTTATCTAGATTGATCTAAAGAACACAACACTTAATAGTAAAATCAGACCTCAAGAAAAGATATT